AGTTAGAGGGAGCTGGGGACAGAAAAACCAGGTGGCATCTCTGTCACATCCTTCCGGAATGCCAGCACTTGGGCTGCTGGAAGTGGGCTTGTCAGAGAATCTTTAAGGTTAGATAAGACCTCCAGGATCACCAAGTCCAACCCTTAAGCAAAGCAATCCCCACCTTGTCAACTAGGCCAGAGCACTGAGTGCCACACCCAGTTGTTTTTTGAACACCTCCAGGGATGGTGATTCCACCACCTCCCTGGGCAGCCCATTCCAACACCTGGCAGCCCTTCCAGTGAAGAAATTCTTCCCATGTCCAACCTGAGCCTCCCCTGGCACAGCCTGAGGCTATGTCCTGTTGTCCTTGCAGACAGGTGTTGGGGTCCCATTATGAGACAGCAGCTAGAGATGGGGGGGTAGATGGTGTGGCTGCAGGTCGTGAGTATTTATGTGCTGTTTGAGCCTGAAGGGGTTGCCTACTGGTTGTTCCGATTGCCAGTGGCTTCAGATAAAGTGAGAGTTTTGGTGGTAGGACTAGACCAGAACATTGTTTCAAAAGCACATTTGCGTTCTAAAAAACAAAACAGAAAGGGGACCTTCAGGCCCCGCTTCAGAGTGACTAATGAGCTGCACATGAAGGAAAACAAGGTACTTGCTAGGGTTTGTGTGCAGAGATAACAGACTTAATTACATGGTGCAGGAGCTGTAGATAGAAGAGAGGAAACACGAGTGCTGAGGAGGAGATGGATGTTGTATATCCTGGTAGGAGAGGAGCTCTGGTGATGTTTAAGAGCTGTTCTCAGTGAACAGTTTGAGGTTCTCATGATAGTCTGTCTCTCTCCAGGAAAGCTTGGCTCCTTTGTAGGTGTGTGATGTCTTCAGGGACTGGGGATCAGAAAAGTGAGTGTTGATGATTATAACATGGGTTGAACTGTCAGATGTTCATGGTATTCTCCAGGGAAGCATCTCTGGGTCCCCTCAGCTTGCTGTGCTGTTTGCTTTAAGATAAGACATCAAAGCTAGGCAGGAGCCATAAATGGGTGGGCACTTAATTATCAAACTAAGTGAAAAGTGTATAAGGATAAACAGGTAGAACTCAGTCCTGCGATGGATCTCCATGGCAGCCGCTGAAGGGTCCTCAAAAATGATCATGTCATGTTGTACTCACACCTACTGATGCATGGTGAGGAGTGGAGGATGGGAGTCCTGGAATAAGCCCTGTAAGCAAACTAACCTGCTGCTGTCTGGGAGCCTTCCCTGTGGGTCTCACAAAGGCCTGCTAATTAAGATGCTTCTGGAAAGAAGGTGCAGTAGGACCAACCCTTGGGCTTTTGGAGTTCACGTGCCTTGACATTAGGGGCAGGTAAAGCTGTGCTCGCTCCCTGGCTGCTCTGCATGAGGCTGAGCCTTCCCTGGCTGCAATGTGATCCTTGGGCATGCCGGGAGCCTGCCAGGTTTTGGGCAGAGCGCTGAGTCAGAGCTCCAGCTGGAGTGGAGAAGTCAGGAAAGCCTTTTCCGAGACGGTGCCGCCTCTGCAGTGCTTTGTTGCAAATCAGAGGGCTCGGATTTGTACAAACCTCTGGACTCCCAAGCAGCAGAAATGTTAAACTTCCAGTAGTTTTTGTCCAGCAGGAACTGTCGGAGTTTCCATGTGGCTTTAGGGCACTTGAGTCTTGGTGGTGCAGACGCTGTGCCATCAAAGGCTGCGGGAACTGGTGGGACTGGAACTGGCAGTGTCCTCAAGCTCGGTGGTGGAACGTGCCTCCCAGCCAAAGCAGGCAGTGTGGACTGCTCCATGCCAAGCTCCCTGCGTTCCCTGGCCAGGTGTCTTTGTGCAGTGTGTGAAAGGTCAGGCTCCTGGCACTTGTGTTTTCCTTTTTTTTTTTTTTTTTTCTGTTCCAAGATAGCTAAGAGACTTTCCCCTATCGAGTTTCCAGCATGTGGATTAGCTCTTTGTGCTTGGACGTTTGTGCCACATCCAGGCCTTGACTCCATTTCAGCCACATGCATCTCTTACCCTCTCTCCCCAGTCTCCAGGGGCACAAGGGTGAGATGAGGCTGGACAGTTACTGAGATTTGTGAAGCGAGTTCTGTTGTTCAGGGAAGTAAAACTCCAAACTGACTGAGCTTCCCAGAGAGCAGGTAGACCTCCAGCCAGAGGCTCATGGCTTTGTGTTCCTGCCAAGCCCTCCTATGCCAAAGTGAGATCTTCCTTTGGCTATTTGAAGTCTCTGACTCCATGTAACAGTGCTGGGAATGGCATCAGGGGACCTGATCAGGGTACTGCCCTTCTTAAGGGAAGTGAGACCTCTCCAGGGTCTGAGTTAAGAAGGGGGAGGATTCTGCCCTCCAAAAGGGCTTGTAACATGACTGCTGCAGTGTGATCCAGGATGTTACATCAGAGGTGTTTCAGTGGAATGCTATAAATTCAGTACATCGAGCCTGCTATTTAGCCTGTGGCTTGACTGAACTCATTTTGTGTTGGTATCCTGCTGTGTAAGAAAAAAATCAGCTCTGAAGAGGTGGCAGCAGCTCTGGTCAGACAGAGGGCAGAGATGTCCTCAAAGGCAGCTGAACCTGGGATACATCTTTTCCACCTTCCACTGACTCTGATAAGGCAGCTAATAAGGCAGCTAAGTGTACCCTGCTGTCCAATATCTTGTGTCCTGGGCATCTTGCATTTTCTTCCTGCTGGGAATGCAAGTGCCAGATGGTTTTCTGTTCTCCCTCCCTCAGCTCAGTCGCAGACTGAAATGTGTGGGACTGCAGCCTCTTCCCTTCCCTCTCCTAGTGCTGAGGGATGCAGTCCCTGTCCCCACCTGTGTTACACCTTGGCCATGTCTCTGCAGTGCTCCTTCCTGGGAGCCTGGGTACCATTAGGAAGCAGTGACATGGTTAACGAGGCTCCCTTTTTGCTTTTGCAAGTTCCCTGTGAGCTCCCTGGGGGAATCTGCTGTCTCCACAGGTGTACCTTCCATCTGTCAGCCAGTTTGTTGAAAGGATTTTGACAGGCAACTTTCCTCCGTAATCCTTAATAGCTTCAAATTTAAAATGTTTATGGCAAAGCTAATCCCACGAAACTCCCTGTAGTTTTAATAAATCTATCCTCCAGCAAGACTCTTCTGGTGAGAGGAGGTAAATCTGCTTCTTCCTACAGTGATACATATCTGCAGACGTGGCTGTGGGGCAGCTTTAAATCACCTGCTTGGTCCTCACTTAAAAACTGGTATCTCTGCTCAGGGAGCACCTTGCTAAAAGCAAGACCTCATGGGGTTATCCACCTCCACGACTTCTGTCAGGACTGAAAACTGTTGGAATCAGTGAGTCTCTCGTATGGCTGGGCACTCCATTTACAGCTGGAAGGCAAGAGAATAACTCAGGCTGGGATTCCTGGATGTTCCTGAGCCCAAATCCCTCACTCAAAGCAGGACAGCTTAGGTGGGGAGAAGACCCCGAGTATCCTGATCAAGCTTTGAATATCTCCAAGGACAGGCAATCCATAGGCTCTGGGGCAGGGGGACACCTTTTTTGTGCTCCAGTGTGTTCCAGAGATGGCTTTAACCTCAGAGGATCTTTAATGTGTGTCTGTGCAGGTGTCACTCAGGGGGAAGAATGAAGGGAGTCATTCTGCAAAAATGCAGATCTCTAGAGACCTCTGCCCTCGCAGCACCAGGCTGGCTGGGGACAGTGTCTGAGTGACCTGCCATGGGCATTTCAGTTGTGGTCAGGCCTCAGTGCAGGAGAAGCATATCCCAGGGATCCCAGGGCTGTGTGGTTAAACAGCTGTCGTTAGCCTGGCTGGGAGAGGAGGGGTGAGGGTTATTCTGGCACCAGGAGCTGCCGGATGGCCCGGGCATCGCTGCCCTGCTTACCTTGGGCGGGAACACTGGGAGCTGCCTTGGCACCCTGCCCCGTGCTCCTTGTCCTGTGCTGCTGGAGACTTCTGATAGTCACAGGAGATCCTGCCCTTGTTAACATGGCACCCATTTCCCCCATCCCTCTGCCACCTTCTACCCTTGAGCAGAAGCAGTTGTGCTGGTTTGCACTGTAAGACCCTCTTCCGTACAGAAAGGGGCTGTTCACTGTTCCCCTGCCAGGCTCTGGAGCAACACAGGTCCAAACAACAGCAGGGAAGTTTGGAGTGGAGGGAGTGGAGGCTCTTCTTGCTGCCTCTGCCTTGAGGAAAGAAGTAGAGGGGGTCCAGATCAGAGACCAGAGACTCTGCTTGCTGTGGGGAAAATTAAAGCTTAGCTGTAGCCTGGTTTTGGGCGGAGACATCAGCCAGAGCATGGCTGAAGAGCTGCAGGGGGAGTGAACGTTGTTGGAATGAGCAGGTCAATACTGTGTGAGCAAGAGTGAGTCATTCCAGGCCACTCAAGTGAGGTCCTGGGCTGGGCCATCCTCCACCTTCCAGCAGGAGCCGTTGGCCTGCTGATCCCCACCATAAACATGGTTATCTGGGTCCAGAGCAAACCTTGTCCTTACAGATCCTTGTGAGAGTGACTCAGTATTTGCAGAAGCCTTTCACATCCAAACCATTACCTAATCCCTGAGTGCCGTGAGGAGGCTCACAGGTTCCTGCTCCGCTGGCCGGCTTCCCAAGTGGCCGTGCCCAGGGTGTGGATGTGGTGGGGCAGTGTGCTCCCAGGGCATGGCGATAACAGCCATGCCCAGGCTCAGAGTGCCACTTGGCAGCTGAAACCATCCCAGTGGAGCTGTTGTTGTATCCTGTCTACTCCAGGGGTGCAGAGACCCACACAGAGGGCTCAGAATCAAGGGGGATGTGAGCCCTTCCTGCCCGTGAGGCAGGACCATGAGGCACTTGTCCAGAGGTGCTGCCCAGATGGCTCCACTCCAGTGTTGTGGGATCTGGAATGGGATTATTGTGATACCAAGTGTGGTGCTTCCAAGGTAACTGAGATCACTCTGTGCTGCCCTCTCAGTAATCCGTCTGTTGTCACAGCACGTGAGGCAGGTGACGCTGTGCATTAACACTGTAACCTCAGCGAGGAAAATCCCACCTGGGAAGGATGTACCCTCGCCATGTGAGCTCTTATGTCCTCATCTGTGCAGATGCCTGAGGCAGCTGTAATTGTACCATCTATACATTCTTTGGGTGTCTTGGAAACATGGCCTGTGCTCATGGGAGGTGGAAGAGGTGAACACCCCATAGCTCTGGTGGTGTCAGTTCATGTGGCTAGCTCGTAACCCTGGACCATCTCCTCCCTCTTGCTTTGACTGTCCCTCTCACCGCATCACAGAGCCCAACTCTCCTCCCACAGATGAAAGGCATCTCTTTCGTAGAAGATTTTTCTCATTCTGGAAAATGCTGATGGACAATACCTTGAAATGAACCCACTCCCCTTTTTCATGGGGGACTGAACCACGGCGTGATTTCCCATCTGGCTCCTGCTGCAATGGGAGCAGATGCTGGATGACAGAGCAGGACTTTGCAAGCCAACTGCCTCCTGCCTCTCACTAGAGACTCACAGGGGCACCCAAGCAAGTGATGGGAGTGTCAAGTGACTGAGGCTTAACCCAAGTGTCTCTCTTGTCTCTCCCTCTCTCCGTGCAGGTGACGGAGCTGAACGAGCCCCTGTCCAACGAAGAGAGGAACCTGCTGTCCGTGGCCTACAAGAACGTGGTGGGGGCACGGCGCTCCTCCTGGCGAGTAATCAGCAGCATCGAGCAGAAGACCTCTGCCGATGGGAACGAGAAGAAGATCGAGATGGTCCGTGCCTACCGCGAGAAGATCGAGAAGGAGTTGGAAGCAGTGTGCCAGGATGTGCTGAGCCTGCTGGACAACTACCTGATCAAGAACTGCAGCGAGACGCAGTACGAGAGCAAAGTCTTCTACCTGAAGATGAAAGGGGACTATTACCGCTACCTGGCCGAGGTGGCCACCGGGGAGAAGAGGGCGACCGTGGTGGAGTCCTCGGAGAAGGCCTATAGCGAAGCCCATGAGATCAGCAAGGAGCACATGCAGCCCACCCACCCCATCCGGCTCGGGCTGGCGCTTAACTACTCCGTTTTCTACTACGAGATCCAGAACGCGCCGGAGCAGGCCTGTCACCTGGCCAAGACGGCCTTTGACGACGCCATTGCCGAGCTGGACACCCTCAACGAGGACTCCTACAAGGACTCAACGCTCATCATGCAGCTCCTCCGCGACAACCTAACGCTCTGGACGAGCGATCAGCAAGACGACGACGGCGGAGAAGGCAACAACTAGACCCCCCGATGGACTGGCAGCCGCACGCTGATGCTAACTACTGCAGTCTTTATTTTTTTCCCACGAGTGGGGGGGGGTCAGGGGTGGGGGAGGGAAAGGGAGGGGACACCTTCCCAGGGAGGCCCCCCACAACCTGTCTTTGATTGCCTCGTTGACATTTTTGCCAAAACACCACTAGTGGAAGTCAGGCTGGCTGTGCTGGTATGGAATAGCAGCCTCACTGGCATATGGACTGTTCTGTAGATTATTAATACAAGTGGAGCTGTCTTTAATTTAACTTTATTGCTAGAAATAAAAGGGTTTTAAGACGAATTCGCGTGGATGGAATGGCCCTCGTTTTTAAGGAAAGCAACGCAAAAACATTAAAAAAAAAAAAAAAAAAAAAAACAACAAAAAAAAAAAAAAACAAAAAAAAAAAAAAAAAAAAAGGGAGTTCTGTGGTTCCAGTAAGGCTTCGTGCGTTTGTTTCCGCAGTCCAGGTGCCGTGTGTGTCCGCACCACGTCACGGGGCGTCTCTCTGCAGCGCTCTGCCCGCCAGGGCGCAGCCTCAAATCCCCAAATTGAGAAGGAATTAAAAATAAAACCAACAAAACCAAACAGTTTGGGGCTCACAAAGCCCCAGGATTTAGGCCATCCAGTCTTTTTTTTTTTTTTTTTTTCCTTTTTCTTTTTTTTTCCTCTCGTTAAGATATTTATTAGGGTAGCTTACAGTATTAACACTAAATTGCAGTTTACAGTGTTTCTACATTACAGCCATATGACATCAAGCCTTTTGATTGTCTGTTTTTCTTTCTTTTGCTAGTTCTTTTGGCTTGCCTTCCTGAGCAGTCCTGGCCTGTGGACTGGCTTTAGCTATTCTGTGTCGCCCAAGGCAAGAAGATCGCCCGCCCGCCCGAGGAACATCAAAGCTGCTCTAGTTTTTTGGTCAACAGCTTAACAGGTGCTTGGCTAGCGGCTGTTTCAACTATTTTAAGTCCACAGCAAAAGGTTTAAGAACTTAATTAGACAAGGGGGAAGTGTTTAAACTTAAAGAAAAAAAAATGCCACTTAAATAATAAAAAAAAATAATAAAAAAAAAATTAAAAAAAAAATATGAGCATTCAGGTCTGTATGTCATGTACTGTGTTTGGTATTTCAAAAGACCATCCTGGTTTAAGGTGCCACAGCTGCTTCCTCAGGGATTGCACTGCCATTTCACTCTGCCTGACTTTCTCCCACTGTACCATGAGGTTTGTCAGCAGATCTCCAGCACCCAGGCTCCCTTGTTTGTCACCAGGGAAGCCAGGTGCGTTTTCCTTTCTCCTGGGGAAGCTTGTGGTGTAATGAGTGAACTTCAGGAGCTTAGAAACTAATTTGGTAGAGAAATTCCTCAAGAGGAAGAGCTACAATCATAGACATTTCTATCCACCATCGGGAGCCCAGGAACTTAGTTCTCTTCTTAGCAAAATCTTTTCCAAGTCTGTCTGATCTGGCTGGGGGTGGGGGACGGGGCATCTGAGTTGCTTAGCAGGTAATATTTACCCCATTTTGAGTAAGTTTAGCTTTGATTTTGATTTTCCCATGGTTGTTGGAGGTTCACTGCTGTTCTCTGGCTCGCAGAGCGCTGCGCCCTGCGGCGCTTCACCCAACGCTGTGCAGTGAGAGGAAACCGCACTCGTGCTTTTATTCTTTATTAAACATTGGTCTGATTTTGGAAACAGGCTTTCATTGTCCCTTTGAGAGTCAGCCCGACACGGCGTCGTGGTGTGGCACACACGGCACAGCCGCTCCTGCTGCCGGGCTGTGTGGGGGGCGCGGCTTCCGGCTCCCTCCCTGCTGTCCCGCAGCTGCCCGGCTCCCCGGGGAGCGAGCGGGGCCAGGCCGTGCTCAGCCCCCGGACACTGCCCCGGTGGTGCTGGAATAGCTTTTCCTGGCCGGGATTCATCCACCCAAAGTGAGGCCCAGGCGCTTTGCAGGGGTTTGGGGTGCAGCATCCCGCGGCGAGGGGCCCGCGGTGCCAGTGCGTGCCAGGACCGGGAGATGCTTTAGGCTTCTTACCTCCCTCTCATCAACCCCCGTGTCCCGTGAGCAGTCTTGTCCCACCTGTACAATTTGGAAGTGATTTACTGGAATTACAAAACCTATCTTTTTTTTTTTTTTTTTTTTAAATTACTACTCTTTTTGGCTTTTGCTCTGGCTGCTTTAGGAAACTTATGCAGGAGAGATGGCACAAGAGGGCTAAAAACGGAGTGGGGGTCAGGGACTTGATTTTTAAGCAGCTTGAATGGTTTCTTTCATTTTTTAAGAGATGCACTTGCCTATGATACTGTCTCTCCAGTGAAATGATTACTGCTCCATTACTCTATTGATACAATATTGTGCATGCTAGTGTCGTATTTCTATACAGTAGCTTGAAATTTATTAACTTATACTGTAGATGTTATGTATTCCTATGACAAAATAGTCTTCAAAAATTTTCTAAAGTTTTTTAATTTATTTTTCTTTCCTTTTTTTTTTCGGGGGTAAAGTTTGCTCTACCAAATAGTGATCGTAACAAACTGATCTGTTATGGATGTTGCTATAGTGACATGCAATTATATATGATTTTGTTTTTAAAAAGGAAAAAAAAAAAAAGCAAAAGAAAACACCAGTGTTAGCTTAATCTTAATGTCTGGTGTTCGTCATGGTGAAATTATAACTATTACAGTGTAGGAGAACAATGACTGTGTTCTTTGAATGAGCCTTTGTTTGTGCTTTTTGTCATGTTATGCAGTGAACTATTTTTAAGGTCTAATCAGTGATTATTTTTCCAACTCCGTGTTTCTGTAAGGAATTATTTCACACACGGACCATTCTTAGCAGTTTTTCCTCAGTGATGGAATATCATGAATGTGAGTCATTATGTAGCCGTCGTACATTGAGCAAATAAACTTACAGATCTGACGTCAGCGCTGCTTAATTGTCATCGCCTGTGTCGAGTTTCTGGGGGGCTCCGTGGGGTGGGGAGGGCTCGGGAACAGCCGGGTGTCTGATCCCGGGGGCCACCGCCCTTCCCCCGGCGCAGAGGATCCCGGCGGATTAAGGGATCACCGGGCTCCTTCCCGGGGCAGAGGCGAGGGAAGGTGGGAAAA